AAAAAATATTATATTAATAAAAAAAACTTTCTTAATAACAATGCATCTACTTCCAAAAATGTAGAAAGCATGATGCATTTCAGATTCATGTTTGTTTCCACATCTATAGTGGATGAAATGCAAAATTGGGATGTTTCACAAGCACGTGCAAGCATAAGAAATAATATATTATTTAACTGACATGTAACATATTGTTGTACTTGTAAACCAAAATGATTATAAAGTAAAACCAAAACACAAACATAAATTTCCAAAGATCTATTTATGGGTTGAAGACTGCTTTTGTTCTTGTTTTCTATTTTAGATGTAATGCATTATCAAGTTAATAATGCCTTTTTCTCAATCCATGAAAAAGAGCAAACAGTTGTTTGCACCTGTCTCCATTTCTTATACCACATTTTGTCTTCCAGTCTACTATTTCAAATTTCCTATTCTTTTTGTTCTTGCACAACTCCTATTTTATGAGAGTATGACTCTCCTGTAGTTTTTAATGGTAAAGTCTGTTCATTCAAGTAATAAGTTTCATTGTTTACATTTATTTATTAATTATCTTGGCTTCTTTGCCAAGTAGGCATTTAAAACTATGGATTATAAAAGTGCTAAGGTGTCACTGAAATGAAGGAAGTTAGGTGCTCCCAAAAATCCCATTAAGCCATTACCTATATCTTTAAATTCCAAATCTGTTATAATTAAAAATCTTCTCTTAGTAGAATTAAATAGTCTCAGGCTAAGGAAGGCATAACATTGAAGCATATTTACAATAAATATCTAGTGTAAAAACAATACATCCTTCTTGAAATACTCATTTTACCTGTCCTCCACAAGTTCTGAGCTCAAACACCTAGTCACAGTACCGTACACATCTTTTTACTGGTAGTTTTAAGATAACAGATCTTACTAATATTTATGATAAATAGAAACTTTAAGTAGTACAGGCACTTCATTCTTAAATTCTGTCAGAAACCAAACATACACAATTGGCTTTTGAGGCTTCAAAACTTATTTTTTCAGACAGTTTGTCTTTGGACAAGTTAATAAAAAGGTGAAATTTTCAGACTATAGGATGAAGATAGCAAGCCCTAATAACCAACAAACTATGAAATACTTGAGGAAAGTGTTTTTCTCCTAGTAGAAAAAGGTTTCTGGAGAGCGGGAGGGGGGAAGGTATGTGGGGTACATAAGGGTGTTAATCTTCAAGCAATTTTCCCTTCCTGGTATTCCATTAATCTATTCCCAACAAGAATTTGTACAGGAAAGAGCTTGAGAGTGTGTTCTGAATCTCTACACCACCTTCAGCCTAAAATTAGTTTTGAAGGAAGTTTTGGAGCAGAACAACATTTCTGCTCCAGATTAAACCACAGGACAGAATCCCATATACTAGCTATAAATTTTGTTCCTCTGTTTGTGGAAATACACAACGCAGAGTTCCCTTTTTAAACTACATCCAGAGACAGTCTTTCAGTAGTTAGCCAGCAGACAGGTTCCCAAGAAGGACTTCATACCTTGCGAGACACTCCACAGCATTTCAAAGGGCCAATAGTCTTGTGTTCTTCTCTGATGTTCTCTCTTCCTCCTTCAACTCATGTATCTGTACTTGTCTTCCCATTAAAATTTGCCTTTCTTAACTTTTACTGCATTTCTACTTTAACTCTTTCTACCTGCTTCTCCTTGCTTTGTCTTCCCCCGCATTTCTCTTCCCTTTTTATTAAGTGAATCTCTTTCTTCCTTTTTCCTTCCTTCTTTTCAATTTTTTCCTTCCTTTTTCCCCCAATTAATCTGTTCCT